TGCTTCGACACTATGAAAGAGATGAGCGAAACAAAGCAGTTATGTTGTAGGCTGGACAACTAAGCACTAAGCTGAGTCACTCAGGGTTGTAAAACCTAGGGGAATTGAAGATTTGGCTTATAACTCTTTAAGGTTGATTTTTTTTTTCACACTTCATTGCATCCACTTCATGACACATAAATATATACTTCACTTAAAACACACACACACACACATGCTCACGCTAACTACTGGGGCAGAGAATACAGTACTTCCCACATTGCTTAATATTACTGAGACTCCTCTTTGTTTGTCAAGCATAGATGTGTCCTATATAGTGCTCTCTGTGTCTTACATAAACACAGGTTTACTTTGTCTTCTTTTCTTTGTTGTAGAGATCACATACACTGTATCTGTTAAAATAATGACTTCTTGGGCGCCCAGATAGCTCAACAGGTTGAGCGGGCGACCCATGTACAGGGGCTATGGTCCCCGACGCAGTGGCCGTGGTTTGATTCCAGCCAGTGGATCATTTGATGCATGTCCTTTCCCCACTCTTCTCCCCATGTTTCTCTGTCACTCTTTCACTGTCCTACACATTATCGGCAGAAAACCCCCAAAAATATCTTAAAAAATAATGACTTCTTGTTAATGCCCATTTGTGGTGCTGTTACAACCTGGCTCAAGACAGCCGCAACAAAAGAAGAGTCACACCAAGTTTCAAAAATTAAAGCTGTTCTTTTTTCACTTAAATTGTACCAAATTAAACCCAAACCAGTATGGGGTCATGGAAATACATAGAGTCAGTGGTGTGTGTGGGATGTATGCATGAATTATGTCTGTGCAAGTGTTTTAAATGCAAACATCCTAAATGAAGAAAACTAACCCATACCCAGACTGGTGTGTTACCTGCGGAGAGAAGCAGAGAGTGATGAGACTGCAGTCAGCCCTGAAGTCACCCAGAAACACACTGGGTGTCACAGGTGCTTCTGATTACAACGAACAGCCACTCACAGAACCAACAGACGAACTAGAACCACCCACAAGATGACCGCAGGGGTCATCACATGTGCATGACGATGAAAACACAGATGTCTGTTTTGTGTATATAACATTTTTAATACAGAAAACATTTGATAAAATTGTGCCAGCAAAAAGCAGATGATGTCTGTTACCTCATCGAATGACTGTTAACATAATGTGTGTTTATGATCTCCTGCTTTGTGTTTTGTGTGTAGGAATGCCAGCGTTTGAAGCAGCAGGTCCTGTCTCTCAGGAGGGAGAACAGCACTCTAGACACAGAAGTCCATGAAAAGGAGCGTTTGATCAGCCAGCTGCAGATGAGAGTAGCTGTTTTGGAACAGGAGATCAAAGATAAGGATCAGCTGATGAACAGCACAAAAGAGATGCTGGAAGCCACCCTGCAGCAGAAGGTAGGAACTGTCCCTTGTATGCTGACTTTTCAAAGTAACCTGAAAAGCTTCAAACAAACTTCAAACCTTTCAGATGGATTTTAGAGGCACAGTTTGTTAGTTNCTCCTGACAGAACTGGTGTAACTGAGTCAGGTTTGTAAGCTGCCTTGTTCGTACACGTCTTTTCAGCTCTGTCCACAAATTTTCTATGGAATTGATCAGGGCTTTATGATAGCCACTCCAAAACATTGACTTTGTTGTCCTTAAGCCACTTTGTAACTAATTTGGCGGTATGCTTAGGGTCATTGTCCATTTGGAAGACCCATTTGCATCCAAGCTTTAACTTCCTGGCTGATGTCTTGAGATATAGCTTCAGTATTTTCCACATAATGTTCTTCACCAGTCCCTGCTGCAGCACAAACACCCCCACAACTTGATGCTGCCATCCCCATTCTTCACTTTTGGAATGGTGTTCTCAGGTTTGCCCCTTTTTTCCTCCAAATGTAACGATTGTCATTATGGCCAAACAGTTAAATCTTAGTTTCATCAAACCACAGGACATGTCTCCAAAAAATTGGTATTTGCCCCTGTGTGCATGTGCAAACTGTAATCTAGCTTTTTTTTTTTTTTTTTTAATATTGCTTTTGGTTGGTACAGTCGGTACAGGACTTGCTTCACTGTGGATAACGACACCCTCTTACCACCTTCAACCAGCATCTTCACAAGATCTTTTGCTTTTGTTCTGGGGTTGATTTGCACATTTCGCACCAAAACATGTCTTTGGGACGCAGAACTCACCTACTTCCTGAGTGATGTGATGACTGGATATTCCCATGGTATTTATACTTGCATATAATTGTTTGAACAGATGAACGTGGAACCTTCAGGCATCTGGGAATTGTACCCAAGGATGAAGTAGCCTTGTGGAGGTCCACAATTCTCTTCCTGATATCTTGGCTGATTTCTTTAGATTTTTCAATGTTGTCACAGAAGGAAGTAGTGTGTCTGAGGTGTGCCTTAAAATACATCCACAGTTGTGCCTCCAATTAGCTCCAATGTTGTCATTTAACCTATCAAAAGCTTCCAAAGCCATGACATCATCATCTGGGCTTTTCCTAAATAGTTTGAAGGCATAGTAATCTTTGTGTATGTAAACTTCTGACTTCGAAGAAAGCAATAAAAAATTCTCTAAAAAATTCTCTCTCTCATTATTCTGGCATTTAGCAAATGATTTTGGTAATCCTAACTGACCTAAAACTTGAAAAGTTTAGTCTGATTTCATGTCAGACAGTGAGAACAAAAGGTTTTGTGTCTTTTTATACAGTGTATGTAAACTTCTGGTTTCAACTCTGTTTACTAATACTGTAAACAACAGTGATGTACAATGTATGTAAATACAGAGGTGAATAGAGGTAAATTAACATACAGTTACTAATCAAATGACCGGAGGTAAGGGGGGCAATGAACCACAGGTGATGAAATCGGGGTCTGGTGACCAGACGGGTGGTGGAGTTGGGGTTCTGATAGCATACAGTTGCTAATAAAATGGCAGGAGGTAAGGGGACAATGAACAACAGGGGGTGGAATCGGGAGTCTGTGACAGGAGGTGGGAAAACACATGGCAACAGGGAATGAATTCAGGGGTCTTTGACCATCAAAATAAAAGAAAATTACTTTCTTCATCACACACCCTTTTCAGGAGGGAGAGGGAGGCTGCCGCAGAATGTGTCGCTGTGATGATCTGCTGGATGAGTTGGTTCTGGACCACAGAGACAAGATGGCATTTTTGCATCGTTGTGTTGAAAAATGCTGAAGTAAAAATGGTTCAAAAGGCCTCGCCTTTTGCCAGGCCACAGTTGAAAATAAGAACTATGTTTTTAATCTGTCTTGCCTGGTTAAATAAAGGTCAAAGCCCCTGTTACATTCTAGTGACTTTCTTTTATACAGAAAGTTTAAGAGCCAAGTTCAAATCAGCATCTAACCAATCATGGATGTGTTTCTCCCAAAGGCTGGTCTTGTGCTTCATTNCTCCTGACAGAACTGGTGTAACTGAGTCAGGTTTGTAAGCTGCCTTGTTCGTACACGTCTTTTCAGCTCTGTCCACAAATTTTCTATGGAATTGAGATCAGGGCTTTGTGATGGCCACTCCAAAACCTTGACTTTGTTGTCCTTAAGCCACTTTGTAACTAATTTGGCGGTATGCTTAGGGTCATTGTCCATTTGGAAGATCCATTTGCATCCAAGCTTTAACTTCCTGGCTGATGTCTTGAGATGTTGCTTCAATATTTTCCACACAATGTTCTTCACCAGTCCCTGCTGCAGCACAAACACCCCCACAACTTGATGCTGCCATCCCCGTTCTTCACTTTTGGAATGGTGTTCTCAGGCTTGCCCCTTTTTTCCTCCAAATGTAACGATTGTCATTATGGCCAAACAGTTAAATCTTAGTTTCATCAAACCACAGGACATGTCTCCAAAAAATTAGTATTTGCCCCTGTGTGCATGTGCAAACTGTAATCTAGCTTTTTTTTTTTTTTAATGTTGCTTTTGGTTGGTACAGTCGGTACAGGACTTGCTTCACTGTGGATAACAACACCCTCTGACCACCTTCAACCAGCATCTTCACAAGATCTTTTGCTTTTGTTCTGGGGTTGATTTGCACATTTCGCACCAAAACATGTCCATCTTTGGGACGCAGAACCCATCTACTTCCTGAGTGATGTGATGACTGGATATTCTCATGGTATTTATACTTGCATATAATTGTTTGAACAAATGAACGTGGAACCTTCAGGCATTTGGAAATTGTACCCAGGATGAACCAGACTTGTGGAGGTCCACAATTCTCTTCCTGATATCTTGACTGATTTCTTTAGATTTTTCAATGTTGCCACAGAAGGAAGTAGTGTGTCTGAGGTGTGCCTTAAAATACATCCACAGGTGTGCCTCCAATTAGCTCCAGTGTTGTCATTTAACCTATCAAAAGCTTCCAAAGCCATGATATCATCATCTGGGCTTTTCCCAAATAGTTTGAAGGCATAGTAATCTTTGTGTATGTAAACGTCTGACTTTGAAGAAAGTAATAAAAAATTCTCTAAAAAATTCTCTCTCTCATTATTCTGGCATTTGGCAAATGATTTTGGTAATCCTAACTGACCTAAAACAGGAAAAGTTTAGTCTGATTTCATGTCAGACAGTGAGAAAAAAAAGGTTTTGTGTCTTTTTATGCAGCGTATGTAAACTTCTGGTTTCAACTGTGTTTACTAATACTGTAAACAACAGTGATGTACAAACAACAAACCGCGAATAAATGAATGGATGACAGCAAGCTAATTAACTGTGATTGTTACTGGAAGCAGTTGGCTGAGCAGTGATCAGTTTAGAATCACTGTGGAACTTGAAACCAATCGTAATTTTGAAATTCACCCGTTTCGCAGAGAGAAAATGATAGTTGCATACTGTTGAAGAAATTTTACTCATAGTCCTCATGTGAAGTTTGCTGTAGTGGGTGTTTATTAGTATTCCGGTATACGGTGGGCTCACCAACACAGAGCATGAGTCTGTGAAGGTGGATTGACCCTGAACATCTGCAGAGTCACACATTTATAGGGTAAGTCANAAACCTTTCAGATGGATTTTAGAGGCACAGTTTGTTAGTTTAACATCTAGGGCAGTTTTTCCTGATGCTCAGTTTAACCTGCCTAAACCACAATATGTGCTTTTAGCAGGGTTGACGAGAGCCAGAGATCATTAATATTATATGTGTTTTTAAAAGCCTAATAGATCTTCTTTGTTGGTAAAACAAAACCTTACTATTGTCCAATAATTGTTGAAAAAATATTAGTTGCAGCATTATTAGCATTGAGAAGGGCTGCACAATTATTATCAGTCAGTATTATTTCTCAATCAGGATTTCAGTTTTCAGCAATTCAATAAGCATGATCAACTGCGATATTGACGTGCTCATAGAAAACTCTGCTGTGTATCGAATCAAGCTCTTCCTAAACTAACAGCCATCCATCATGTAGCAATCCAGATGTTTTGGCTTCACTTTTAGTGAGCTGTCATACTGCCGCATACTCATCCGTGCAGTGGCAGCCAGTGCAAAGATTTTCTGGATGTTACAGCTGCCGTCCAGAGTAAAAGAGTGATTTATAACAGAGAGCAGAACATAGACTGAAATAGACAGAGCAACTGTGACAACACACACTGGTTTGTAGACTGCTGTTTTGAAGCCTCCAGTTTGCTACTCCCTGGAGCCATCATGGAATTTTTGAAGCCATAAGTGATCTGGAGAAGGAGTGATGGGTGAAACTGACTAAAAACCAGAGGACACTCTGCACAGTCAACTGTAGCAGCATGACTCCTGCTCCGCTGTACGAAGCATACAGTCACTCCTGAATAGACATGTCGGTCGAGTCAGCCACGTCCCTAAGCATCACACACTTTGAGGCAGTATTTCCAGTTAATTATGGAATTATTTTGAAATGGACCCCCAAAACACTGATCTAATGGACGAAATTTAACAAAAACAATTATAAAGATGTGTGGAAATACACGTAATATATTAGCTTTTCTTGATGATTTTTGAATGACTGTCTATGGGGGTCAGAGCTTATTGCAGCCAGCATCGAGTGGCGCTCAGTGGTATTGTACTTCAGCATTTGCTTCACATTTCAGAGCATAAAGCAGACAGGCAATGCAAAAACCAAATATCTGGAGCAGCAGGTAAAGAGCTAGTCACTTGAAATATATCTTATCTATTGCTTAGATGTGTTTTGGATCTAAAGCAAGTGTAAGGCAAGAACAAATCCTCTGTAATGAGTGCATGACAATTGTGTCTGTGCCACAAAGCAATGCGACTATCTTGTCTAACCACTTAAAAAAAAAAAAACACACACACTGCAGTATGATGATTGCATGAAGGCTGAAAAAAAAGTTGTGTTGCAATACGATGCATCACCATATTGTTCAACAAGTAAAAGCAGTTCTGTTGGTTTAATTTTTTGTAAAAACTTTTGGTACAATTTTATTGGTATTTTGCTTCTAGGAGATATATTGTGAATAACAGCCCGTCTTAGTTTGATGCAAAGATTTGTATGTTAGCACAATATGGAAGTAAAAGCAGCGCTGTATGTAAATGTTAAAGTGCAATTAAAATAGTTTGCCCCTGAAGTCAAAGAATAATTGTGATAAATAATCGTGATCTCAGTATTGAACAGAATAATCATGATTACCACCTAATTACCACATAATTGTGCAGCTCTGCCATCAGTGCACACACACTAATTTAGCTTGACTCATTCCCATATGCAGCACACTGTCCTGCTAATGTAAACACTGAACAGGACCGAATGTGGATCCATTCACTGATAAAAACTGTCACCAATTCCTCTTGTTTGAGTAATGTTGCTTTTTGTTTTTAATGGGATTTTTGGACAGTTAGACAGAATATAAAATAACTCTTAACAATTTTTTTGTATGCTCTCACTCTGTATATTTATAGCTTATGTGATTTTTGTTTCCTAGAAATCAGTTGAAGAAAATGCAGAAAGTAAGGAACTTAAGAACAAAAAACTTGAAGCAACTGTGAAATCACTGTCTGAGGAGCTGATAAAGGTTTGTGAGGCTGAATGCAGGTTGCCCATCTGCTACACTCTATTGTCATCTTATTAGGTACATTAAAACTAATGTGGTCTAATATACCATTCCCACCATAATTCCTATTTTCATGGAGGTTCCAGTTGCAATATTATATGTAATTACTATATGATAATTTTCAAAGATGCCATTTTGGAGTACTTTAGAACTGCAGTATAGAGCGATATTTAGATGTCCTATTAGACTAGGCAGTTGGCATGCTTGTAAAACTGGCAACTGTGTGTTTTCGATGGCACATTATGTTTGAATATGGTCAAGTTTAGTTTCTTATCTGTTTTTTTTCTTAATGCAGGCTAATGGTATCATTAAGAAGCTGCAGGGGGAGGTTCGAGGCCTTGTCGGAAAAATAAAAGTCAAAAACACAGTGACCGTGTCACAGGAGAAGGTTCTTCAGGATACATCAGAAAAACTTCAGAATGTTGAGAAGAATCTAGAGAATGCTCAGCAGCAGCTCATTTCCAAGGATGAAGAGGTATGTCTCCAAATCATTGAAAAGGTGGACCCACTGATTTTAACAGACTTGAGACTTTTTTCTGTGTAATGTTGTGAAATAGTAGAATTTTTACTCCTTATATATAAATCACATCACAACTCAAGAAAAAAATGATAAATGAGAACAGAAGCAGTGTGGTTTAGAATGTTTAATTTATTCTAAATGTACACTATTATGCAACAGTTTTAGGCACTTTAGATCCTTATCCATCATGCAGTACCATTAGTGACATATCATATTGTCCAATATTTGTTCTGCTGCATAGAGCCAGAGTCATGAAAAAAAAAAAAAACTTCACCGACAAGTTGGTTGGTTTGCTTCTCCTTCTTTTTCCTATCAATTGCAGTTGAAACCAGAAGTTTACATACACTGTATGAAAAGACATATAACCTTTTTTTTTTTCTTACTGTCTGACATTAAATCAGACTTTGGCTTTGGAAGCTTTCTGGAAGCCTTTGATAGGTTTATTAACAACATTTAAGTTAACTGGAGGAACACCTGTTGATGTATTTTAAGGCACACCTCAAGCACACTGCTTCCTTTTGTGACAACATGGGAAAATCTAAAGAAATCAGCCAAGATATCAAGAAGAGTATTGTGGACCTCCACAAGTCTGGTTCATCCTTGGGTACAATTTCCAAATTCCTGAAGGTTCTATGTTCATCTGTTCAAACAATTATAGGCAAGTAGAAACACCGTGGGAATGTCAAGTCATTACATAGCTAAGGAAGGAGATGGGTTCTGTGTCCCAGTGATGAAGTGTTTTAGTACGAAAGTGTGCATCAACCCCAGAACAAAAGCAAAGAAAAAAAAAAAGATGATATGGCCTCCCCTGAGCAAGAGTCTTGGTCTCATTGTCATGGAATCAGTCTGGGATTGCATGGTGGTGAGACAGACTAAATCCACAAAAGAACAGTTGCACATTTTCCAAGATGCCAGGTGCCTCAAAAAACTTGACTTGTTGAATTAGCCACCATAATTAAGATGGTGAATACAAAAATCGAAAAAAAATGTTACAATGTGAAAAACCACAATATTCCTTCTATCTTGCAGGTTTCAAAACTGAAGGAGCAGTTGGAGATGACAGTACAGAAGCTTAATGAAAGCAGAGAAGTGTTAAAAACAAATGAGAATGGTGAGAAACTTAGTTTTACTACTTTCCTGATGTGGTATAATGATACTGTAGGTGAGTTAGATGATGCTTTTCAGTCCCTCAGTATTTAAGATCCACCCAGACAAAAAAAACCTCTCTGTCAAGAATAACAATTACCTTGTTAGAAAAAAACTTTTTTTTTTAAAAGTGTCTTTTTTTGATAAGTTTGCCTGTCAGCCTTAGGTACTCAGTAGTTTTTAGTGATTGACTTGGACACGTTTTGGTCAGTGTTGCGATGTACAGACCCTTTCCAAAAAATTAGAATATCATGGAAAAGTTTATTCATTTTCATAATTCAATTCAAAAAGTTAAACTTTTATAGAAATTTAGATTCAGGGTCCACAATTTAAATGATTTCAAGTATTTATTTGTTTATTTTTACATAATTTGAGCTTCCAGCTCTTAAAACCCACGAAAACAGGAATTCAAAAAATTACAATACTGTGAAGCAATCAGCCCAAATTTTGCAGGGCATGAATGTTTTAAACTGAGTGTCACACACTAATCATTTACTAAACTCAAAGCACCTGCACAGGTTTCCCCAGATGTCATTAAATTGCTTCAGTTTGATTCAGTTGTCTCAGTTCGGTTCAATATGGGAAGACTGCAGACTTGACAACTGGCCAGAAGACCATCATTGATACCCTCCATAGGATGGGTAAGCCACAAATGTTCATAGCTAAGGAGGCTGGCTGTTCACAGAGTGCTGTGTCCAAGCATATCAATGCAAAGTCTAGTGGAAGGGCAAAATGTGGCAGAAGAAGATGCACCAGCAAAAGAGATGACCGTGGGCTTCAGCGGATTATCAAACAGACAAGATTCAAGAATCTGGAAGAGATCCAGAGAGAGTGGAATGAGGCAGGAGTCACAGCTTTAAAAACCATCACATTCAGACGCATCCGGGAGATGGGCTACAACTGTTGGGTTCCTCAGGTCAAGCCACTTCTGAGCCTGAGCCAACGCAGGAAGCATCTCAACTGGGCCAAGGAGAAGAAGGACTGGACTGCTGGCCAATGGTCCAAGGTCTTCTTTTCCGTTGAAAGTAAAGTGTGCCTTTCATTCGGAAATCAAGGTCCAAGGGTTTGGAGGAAGATGGGTGAGGAACAGAACCCAAGCTGCTTGAGGTCCAGTGTGAAATATCCACAGTCAGTCATGATTTGGGGTGCAATGTCCGGTGCAGGTGTTGGTAAACTCTGCTTTCTTAAATCCAAGGTCACCGCAACAGTCTACCAGAATGTTTTAGAGGACTTCATGATTCCTTCTGCTGAGGATCTCTATGGAGATGCAGATTTCATCTTCCAGCAGGACCTGGCTCCTGCCCATACCGCCAGAAGCACCAAAACCTGGTTTGATGCCCATGCCATCACAGTGCTTGACTGGCCAGCCAACTCGCCGGACCTAAACCCCATTGAGAATCTATGGGGTATTATCAAGAAGAAAATGAGGGGCACCAGACCCAAAAACAAAGAAGAGCTGACAGCAAGCATCAAGGAAATCTGGGCTTCCATAACTCCCAGGCAATGCCACAGCGCATTGAGGCAGTGATTAAGGCAAAGGGATTCCCAACCAAATATTGACGATTGGCTTGTCGTTTTGAAAGTACCTTATTTTGATTGATTTGATGTGATCCTAATTTCTTTCTTTTTTTTCTGCAAAAACTGAGAAGTAAATGGTGATTTGTTCACAGTATTCTAATTTTATGAATTCCTGTTTTCATGGGTTTTATGAGCTATAAGCCCAAATTATGTAAAAATAAACAAATAAATACTTGAAATCATTTAAATTGTGAGCCCTGAATCTATAATCTATGAAAGTTTAACTTTTTGAATCTAATTATGGAAATTAAACGACTTTTCCATGATATTAAAATTTTTTGGAAAGGGTCTGTATATGTATGTTGTAGTCCCTATAAAACTGTTTGTGAGTTTAGTTTGTTTTGCTTCCAAAACATACTTGCAAAANCTTTCTTTTATACAGAAAGTTTAAGAGCCAAGTTCAAATCAGCATCTAACCAATCATGGATGTGTTTCTCCCAAAGGCTGGTCTTGTGCTTCATTGTCCAGGAGAGGCCAAATACCTTTAGTACTTACTTTGAGTAAAGTTCTTAAATGCATGAATCTAATTGGTAAATATTTGTTATCATTAAAGATCTGAAATCCCACTAAACACATGACTAAAATTCTATCAAACATGATATGTTCCAAAAATAATAATAAAAGTTGTAAACATGCATACAAATCTGGAATTTTCACGATACATGATTTTAAATTTCTATTATAACTAACAATACAGGCATACACATTCAACAATAAGAAAAACAAGACTCAAGAGTTATATACTTGGGATAAGAGTCTCTCTGGGTCTTTTATGGCTGTGACAGAGAGAAGGAGGGTGTTTGTGTCCTGCGTGTGTGCATCTTCCACAAACGCTTTAGATCAGATGTGTTCTTCAATACTGGTCCTACTCAACCTGGTACCATAGATTCAGTCCAGATTTTGGGATCATCACTCTGCTTGATTTCCTTCATTTTGGCATTTAAACTGTTCAGTTAATTGTGGTGTAGAAAGTTCTGTGTGTTGAGGGAGATCGTGTCAACATAAAGAATGCAATCTCTTCTCTGGAGGTGTGGTTTTCCTCAGAATTGGCACTTTATGACCCTTATCAGATTCTGGTTGAGGTGGTCCATGAGGACCATGAGTGGTTATTTAGCAGTAAACATTGAATCTGCAGATGTTCCATTTAGGTGGGAGTTTTGGGTTGTCTGTCTTCTGAATGTTCTGCTACTCAGTCTGCTACAACAGTTATGGACCACCCTACACTTTGAGTTGTGTTTCTGTCCCCATGGCAAATGTAGTTCTTATAGCCACTCGTTTTAGCTCATTGGGATATATCAATATCTTTACCTGCTAAATCCTCCACTTTGTTCACCGGCTAGTCTGTCTATATTTGATACGCAGCAAGAACAGTACAGTGAATTTTAAGACCTTTTCAAAGTTCCNCTGTTTGTGAGTTTAGTTTGTTTTGCTTCCAAAACATACTTGCAAAAATTAGTATGAACATCTATTATCAGAAAGTTTTCATAAGGAGTACTTCGCCAACATTGAATAATTAAAATAAAAACCGTTGAAAGAAGCATGAAGCCATCTTATTTGAGGGCAGTCTGCTGTTTTGAACTGTACTCACCTATATTTTTAGGAGTTTGTAGACTTAGTGAATGCAAGAAACAACCAGTCAATACAGGGAAAAAAAGTAGGTGATATGTAGCTGGTTAGCGAGCTAGCTGTTACTAAGTGTACAGGGAGCTACTAAGACGGCAGCATTCATTTCCTGTGATATTTGTGCACAGTGACAGGAAGTAGGGATGGGTCTTTTTTTTTTCTTCTTCTTTTTGGAAAGAAAAGCAGTTTAAAGAGAATTAGGCATATTGCAATAAAAACACATATTTTGGCAGTATTTAACACCATGTTCATCTCATATTTTTCTTTTACCACAGTTATAAGTTGGCTTAACAAGCAGCTAAATGAAAAGCAGCTGTCCAGAAGGTCACGGTCTCCTGAATCTTTGGTGAATCCTTCAGTTTTATCCACAACAACAGGCCTGAGGGTAAGAGATACTTTGTGGCTGTGCTTACAACTATACCGTATCATCATAATAATTAGCTGTTTGACCATTACCCTACCCCTAACACACTGTTGTAAACATGATCTGCAAATCAAGTACTGTTAAGCCAACCATCCAATATACAACACAACTTCAGCTAATGTAATAGTCTGTATTTTATGTCAAACCTGTTGGGGAGTAAAGTTATTGCAACATCTGAAAAATAAGTTATTATATACAATCTTACTGACTAACTTAAAGCAACGCTATTTTTCCAGGCACAGTTTTATCCTCAGATAGGCAATCCTGCTGTATCACCTGTGGCAGCTGCTGACATCACTCCTGCTGCTGAACATCGAGCAGGACATCCAACTAAAAGACAAATGTGAGTTTCGGTGTTTGCTTGCTTTCCACATGTATACAGAGGATTTAGAAAGTATTCACACTGTTTCATTTCTTATATGTGCCATCATATATTACTGAACATATAAACTTCTTAATTCAGTACTTGTTAGAAGCTACTATTGTCTGCAGTTTCCGCGCCGAGTCTTCTGGGGTATGTTTGCACACCTAATTCTGCAGAACCTTTCAATCTCATCACACTGTCTGTGAAGTCCTTTCCTCAAGTCTGTCCACAGATGGTGTATGGGATGTAGGCCTTAACTAGACCCGTCAAGGACAGTCCAGTCCTTATCCAGATACCATTCTTATGCTGTCTTGGCTTTATTCTTCGTGCCATTGTTTCAAATCAATTCTTGTCTCAATTTTCTAGTGTTTCTAGTAAAAAAATCTTGTTGCACTCATAACTACCTTGCTTAAGTTACATTTCTTTATATGTGTTTTTTTTGTGTCAGTCCAATTAATATTGAAGTCAGCCAACAGAAATATTTCTATGATTTCCCTTGTTACTTCATCTGTGCTGCTACACTGATCCTCCAAATAGGAGATATTTAGTTGTGGAGGTGTTAAAACACACCAAATTACCAATTGCAACATCAACTACACTCCTCCTCCATTCCCGTTCCTTCATGCATCTCAAATAAAATAAACATGAGTCCCGGGTTAAACAACCCTTTAGACTTTGCACACATCTAGAATAACCACAGAGTTACTTTTGAGTCCTTGTGGAAGTTATTATTTATGTACAGACTGTCAACAATCAATGAGATGCTTACATTTAGTCTCCAGTGCTCCTGCTCCTGAAGTCCCTGCCCTTGCTCATAACGAGTTCCTTTTGTTTAAAATGCTCAAAACAAAGTACAGTGGGTTTTAGCCTACCACCAGAAAATTGTCCAATCATGTGAACATGTTAGAAAGTGATGCACTTAGCTTTTTCACATGACATTTTATATAAATGTTCAGTCATAGCTTGCCACACAGCTGACTCATAGTGTGTATTTCTGTCCTCGGGAATTCCAGAGAATACAATATCAGGGATGTATTTATCAAGTTTTGTTCCCCCTGTTCGAACCTAGGACCTTCGAGCTCTGAGGTGACTGTGCTCACCACTGCAGCAATGAATGAATTTTGGGGGGGGAATATTGTTTCACAGCACTGTATACTGGTGTGTGAAACACATTCAATCCAAGTGGGGTTACTGTGTTAACATTTTCCTAAGCTGAAATATATTTCAGATTCAAGTTATTTTTGTTTTAAAATGCTTTTGTACATGTCTGTTCTGTCTGGTAGGATTTTGTTTTAGAAAAATATAGTCACATAACTGCATATTATATTTAGTGTTCTTCAAGCTTATGTGATTTCTCCTCAGTGGACACTCTGCAGGTCTGGACTCCAAGTACTTTGAGAGAAGAGATGATAGCAACCCAGTCTACGGTCTGTCGACTAATCTGCTTCACAAAGGTAAAACTGCTCAATTAGAGCACTGCATAAATTAAAATCTTTAGTGTGTTCAGCATAAATGGTAGATAATGGTTTCATATGACTGTTTAACAGAGAATGTCATGTCTTTTAGCATTACTACTGCAAGGTTTGCAATGTGCAACCTAACCTAAGTCATACCTTAATAATGCTTTTGCATTTTGTATACAAAGTATATACAAAAAGGACAGTACAGGATCAGACAGGATAGGAATGCTTGAAAAGCAGAATGATAGAATGAAAGGACAGGACATTATGAATGAATGTGCATTCTTACATGCAAAATTATTAAGTCAGAAGCAAACTGCAGCAGAGGTGAAACAAACAGTGTTGTACATGTTGTCATCTGAGTCCACCTGAAAACAGAGTGATTCAATCTGTTCTGAATGGACCGGATGGGGGCAACTGTGAGCGGCCTGTAGTCATTCACCATGGCACTCTTGTCTCTCCAATCACCTACAAACATATTAAAAGGTCAAAGTGGTGCATACTAGCAGTATCTAGATGACGGCTTTCATGGTGTTGCATTTGGTTGTACTAAAGTCCTGAAGATTGTTGAAAGCAGCTCCATACCTCAAATCCACTGCAAGAACAGAGTTTTTAGATGCTGTTGGATGATCCAACTTCAGTTGAAGTATTTCAAGGCCTTGTGTCCAAATAATTGTTTCAGTTTTTATTGTTTAACAGGTTCAGATACATCTGAAGAAAAACTCTGCTTTCTCAATATACAGCCTGTCCTCTAACCAGAAAAAGAGCAAATTAACCCGTAACAACCTGATTATAAAAGTGAACAAAAACAGATGCACATCAGATACTGGGCATCATGGTAATATCAAGACAGCAAATCCAGAGAGTTTAGTGTTTGAAAAAAAATCACTTTTATTCATATATTGCCAATTTGCAGCACATGTCACCTTAAAACACTTCACATAGGAAGGTGAAGATCTTCCAGGTTGTGCTTACCTTAGAATGTGTGTTAATATTAGTTTGGATGTTTTCACTTTGAAATTAAAAGAAGAAGAAATGTGTTTTTGATTGACACATTGGAATGATGTTATCGTCATTTAAATAATTTTTTTTCTTTTCTTTTTTTTTCAGAGTTCCCTCAGCATGCAAAGCCTGCCACAGCTTCGGCTTATTTTTCAGCATAAAACAGAAGCTGCTGGATTTGATGAACAGCTACAAAGTAGTCTGTTTCAGCTAAAGGAAGAAATAAAACCACCTGCATTATGTCTTCAGCTCCTCCACAAAATTGTTACTGTTGTGCTGCGTTTTTTTTTTTTTTTTTGGGGGGGGGGGTTGTCGTAGCTAATGTTGCCTTTGAATCACTGTAGTAATGGTGTATATAGATAATTTCTAAGTTGTGATTCATGAATCCAAAATTATACTTTTTCCTTATACAATACATTATGTTTGCCATCCTTAAGTATTTATATTGTGTTTTTGTTTTATGCAGAATTTTATTTAAATGCAAGCCTTAATAAACAATGTCTCCATCCTCATTGGTGTCCACAGTAACTTGTTAAAATGTTAAAAATGGGGAAAGAAAATGAAAATATTGGTGCTATTTAATTTTGTATTGCCTTTATATTTTCAATTTACCAAATTAAAGTGGTGTGAACTGTAGATATACATGCATACTTTTGACATGTATCTGTGCTGCTGCCATATTGCCTCAGGGTTCTGGACAATTAAAATAGAAAACAGTGACTTTTAGACGTTCTTATTACCTGCTAACCTGGACTAACATTTGACAGGTCAGAAGTTCTGTTACATTAATTGCCTTTTCTGAGCCTCTTGAATTTGATACATCACATTGACAGTACTTATTCAAGTGTGAGTTGTCATATGCAGTTCAAAAACTTTATTTGTCCCCCAGGGGCAATTTAGGAAACATAGAGGTGCAGGGAGTCAAGGGGGCGGTGACGGTTGGGAGTTGAGAAGCTGAACAGCCCTGGAAACAAAGGTTGCTCTTCTTCTCTGAGTCCTGCATCCAGGACAGCAGAGCCATTCAAACGCTGGGAACAAAGCGGGTCAGGGGTCTTGGAGGATCCTGCTCACTGTCCTCAGTGTCTGCTGCTCACACAGGGTGCAAAGTGCTCTAAGTGGGAGCCCAATGATTTTACGGCAGACCTTGACAGTGTCCTGCAGGCGGGTCCTGTTTCGCAGGTTGATGGCGTGAAACCAATAGGTTATAGAGAATGTAAGAACACTCAATGAAGTAAATTGTCCTCAGGATGTTTCTGCTGACACCAGAAGTGTTAATCTTCCTCAGCAGATACTGCTGCTGCTGACATTTTCTGAGGATCTCCTCAGTGTTGAAGGCTATTTCAAATATGATATCCAAAATGTGCCCAGGACTTTGTATACACCCACTATCTCTACCAGTCGCCATTTTCCTGCATGTGTCCTTTTCAGAGTTGTATTTGTTTACAGATAAATGAAAGTAATGATGAGCATGTAGCCCAAACACAGTAAATGCACTCATATTTTAGCACAAATAAACAATAATAGCTATGAAAGATATCATTGGGATCACTTTCAGAGTGATCTCAGAACAGCTTCTCTCTCCATTTCCGTGGTGATGAAAGAGAGACAGTGGCACAACTGTGTGGAGAAGCTGTGGCGATTTTCTCAGTGTTTTCTTATTTTTAAATGGTCTACTAACGTATACATACTCAAAACGTTTATACTGTATACTAGAGTGACCATTATAATGCAAACTGTTCCCAATGAAGTATACCAGCCCAGTGTATCCCAGCATGCAGACCAGGGTCAGATACCTGCTGAACATCTGGCTCTAGCTCTGTTGATACATCGCTTTACTCATTTTTGAAAACATTTCAGCTGAAAATGTAACCATGAAGATTTCCAATGTGTATTCACGTCATTCAGAAAATGCCTGGATGTTTTTTGCCTTTTATATTTGAATAGATACGGAGCTTATACGCAGCTGGAGCACATGGTACATGCTCAGTGTTGGTGTTTCTCTTGACATTTGGTTCAGCAAGGTAAGTTTTGACCTCCACTGTTGCATCTGTGGTTTCATTTTGGATTCTTGTCTGCTGGACTGTGGCGTCCAAACGATGCCACAGTTTGCCTCCTAAAACAGACAAGCCAACTGTAAGTGACTAAATACAATAACACAATGAAAACACATACAATCAACTAATTGAAATGCATCCATTACTTTGAGTCCCAGGCAGAGAAGCTTCTGATGATGTGGAGGAGGATGATGATGATGGTGTTTCGAATGACAGCAGCACACTCCGCTATTAGCCTCTTCTCTGCCTCCTTGGCTTTAATAGGGCTATAGAAGCCTTTTTTTTTTTTAAACTTTGGGTCCAGCAGTGTTGCCAGTGATGTAATGCTCTTTGATTGGAAGATGAAGAGTTTGTCCTTTACTTGTTTCCTCAGACTCACTGCCACATCTCTGCCCTCTGGAATTTGTAGGATTCCAAGATCCTCCTCCTCCTCCAGTGCATGGTGTAGCATAGCCAACAGGGGAATAACGTTGGACCCTGAGCCCTTTTTCCCTCAGATAGCTCCACTGTGGCATCATGAAATGGTGACAAAACTTTCAGACGTTCTGTGATTATTACATAATTTTCTGATCGAAGTGGCACAATGTCTGTGCATAAGCCAGCCAAAGCAGCTTCAACAGGCTCCCTTAGGTCATAATACTGTGTTGCAGTATATGGTAGGTGGTGTTGCAGTGGGTATCCACTTCTTTTATTAATTTTACTTCTAGACAGCCCATTTGTTCATTAACCTTTACCACTGTCTCTGACAAAATGTGACAAAAAAGTGACTGATTCAAGCATCACTGCAGCAGCAACTTAAAGAAGTGTGTCATCAGGAATATATGGAGCCCCAGACATGACATGGTCAAAATAAAATTAAATCATGGCCTCAAGACAGCTATAACGTGCAAACAAATTAGTATTTTGTGTGCACAAAGAAGTATATCGTAGTATTTCGAAATACTAATTTGTTCGCACGTTGTAGCTATATTGGGGCCATGAAATACAAATTTGTGGCCACGAAATACTAACCAAAATATTGTTCCTGGACAGCTGGGTATGCGGACCTTCTCGAAGGTGTAAGGTAGAGCCAGACATTAGGACTAAAGGTACACAACACGATATTTCTATCAGAAAAGAAGATGTCAGGATCCTCCTCTCTCTACTGGACCCCATCGGTTCCCAAGTTTGCCAGACCAGACATCTCAGAAGGAGGCAATACATAGCTCAGGGACCAAACTTTGTATGGCACATATGGGTCATATGACAAATTGAAGCCATATGGGATATGCATTAATGGCTGCATCAACGGGTTCTCACGCAACATCATTTGGCCGCAGGCCGCCCATACTAACAGCGACCCGAAAGTTATCAGCAGGTACTTTGTGGAGGCAGTGGAGTGCTGTGGGGGCTGCCCCAGGCTCGTACGAACTGACATGGGTACTGAGAACGTGGCAGTCAAAGACATTCAGCGGTATTTATGAAGAAATTACGTGGATGACAGAGCAGCAGAGAGGAGCTACATCACAGGGGTAAGTACTGCAAACCAGAGAATTGAGAGCTGGTGGGGAGTGATGAGAAAAGAAGGAATCGATTCCTGGATCACGCTCCTGGCAGAACTGAAGGATGAGGGATTCTTTGCGGGGGATTTCATTGACAAAGCTTTGTCACAATTCTATTTCATGCCAATCATTCAGGTAAAAAGCCTATATTATGATCACAGCAAGAAACACAGAAGCTGTATTATTAACTCTACATTATTT